CAACTCCTGCTCCTGCACCCATGACCCCTCCCTGCCTGCACTTCCTGCTCCACCCATGACCCCCTCCACATCTTCACCTCTGCCTTTTTGTTGTGTGTTGTTTTCAGACGGGGTCTTGTGTTGCCTTTATTTCCCTTCAACTCCTGATCCTCCTGCCTCTGCCTTCCAAGTGCTAAGGATATGGGACACCATGCCCAGCCCCTGACACCAGAATTCACAGCCTCCTACTTTGTTTGTGACCACATCAGGGACCCCTGTGGGCTCCTGTGCCTCTTTTGTTCCCTTTAGAAAATTAACATGGAAGGAGGGAGTCAAAGGGGTCACCAACAGTGTTCCAAATAAAAGATAGAGAAAATCAGAGGAAAGAAATGTACTGTGCCCGGATGTTGGACTATAAGGGATCCATCACCTTCCCCTGCCTGATGCCACCACTTAGCTCAGCTACGGCACCTTTGACCTTGTTTGTAAGAACTCTTCTCCGAGCCTACAGCCATACAGACTCTGGGCCTCCGGGATGGGAAATTGGTCTTCAGACAGCTTATGGGTGTGGCTTAGTGGATTTGATTTGAGCTGTCTGTTATTGTGATCTAAGCAATCCTAGCTAATGCAAGAGGAGGTCCTGGCAGATTGAAATCAGCCTTCTATCTGAATGGAGGTGTTGAAAGGCCTTCTCCTGAGATTTCCAGGCCAGCCGTGCCACACGGCCTCTGAAGGAGGTGATGGTCCAGCACTTCCGGAGTTGGAATGCGCCCTGCGTAGGCACATGTCTTTAAGCACTTGGTTTGGAAAGGTTGTGGAACCTTCTGAAAGGAATGAGCCACAAGATGTCTTAGTTAGGCTCTCTATTGCTATGGAGAGACACCATGACCATGGGCACTCTTATAAAGGAAAACATTTAATTAAGGTGGCAGCTTACAGTTCAGAGGTTCCATCCATGGTCACCGTGGTGGGGAGCATGACAGCATGCAGGCAGACATGGTGCTGGCCACATTTTGATCAGAAGACAATGGGAACTGGACTGTGACTCTGAGTAGTATCCTGAGCATAGGAGACCTCAAAGCCCACTCCCCACAGGGACACATAGCCTTCAACAAGGTCGACCTCCCAATGATACCACTCCTCACGAGCTTATAGGGGCCAAATATATCCTAACTACCACACAAGGATAGGCCTGGTCTTTATAACCCAAACCTACTTCCTGTTCTATTTCTGGCTCCTTCTGGTCCTGCAGGCATGGTCCTCAACCATATGAGAGTGCAGTCCCTGGCAAAAACCAAATCCAACCCTTTCTGCCTTAAGTGATTCTTCTGAGAGCATTTTATCACGGCACGGGAAGAGGAAACCACACGAGCACCGGTCACCAGTCAGAGACGGCTGCCGGCTTTTCCTCTGCAGAGACAGGAGGGGTCACCTGGAACCCTAACAGAACGCTCCATGGGTCTTGAGTGTAGCCGACCTGAAGAATGATGCAGATACACAGTCCAACCTGAGCCAGGACACGCATTTCAACACCAGAGAATGGGCACTGAAACCTGTAGCACACCATGCCTGCCCGTCTGCGCCCTATGTGCTACCATACAGTTCGTGAACCAGGCAAGGGACTAGAGATTGAAACACACAAAGACACACAGACAGAGACATGGGTCATCCTTGATGCCAGAAGGCCCCCTTAATTGTGTCCAGGGGTATCTTATCTAGGGATCCTTAACTGATAGCCACGCCCCAGCCAAACCCACCAGAAACCACTCCCCTGCCATCAGGAACTCCTGAGGGTCTAGTGCTCAGAGCAACTGCAAGCATTACAAGTTGTTTACCAGAAATTCAGGATCTGAAGGGTTCACAGCTCCCAACAGAAACCAACTCACCCATTTAGGCAAAATATGGCTGTATTTGGCAAAACCAACAAGTCTTGGCAATTACTTCTATTTCAGTCAAGGAGCCCAACCTGAAACTAGAGCTGCTGAAGGGCTGCTCTGTCCATCCACCTCCTGGGCTTGTGTTTCCAGAGTCTCAAACACGGCTAAGTAGCAATGAAAACTCCAAATTCCCTCCTTTCAGAGATGCATTCCCATTCTAAACATCCTCAGACACAGACATGAGAGTCTATCAAAATAAAAGTGAAGGCTGGAAGCTGTACTCACCGAGTGTTCCCTACACACTGTGAGATCCCCTTCTCCTGCCCTCCGTCACCACTGACTCCAGGTTCCCTACACACCTGGCACCTCTATCTCCTGCCCTCCACACTTGCTCTTTTGTTTTGGGAGCCAGATTTTTACCCCAAAAAGATGAGATTGATGCCGATATCATGAACATTTACCTTCATGGTCAAGGAGATTAAAACATAAGCAGAAAGGGAGGACGGGCTCTCTCCTGTCCAGAGCAAGATTAGATGCAACTAAATCTCAGGGACATTAAAGTAATAAATCTTCTTTGGAGTGGGCAGCAAGCCAGTCACAGAGAAGTTCCCAGAACAGGCAACGGAGGGAGCAGAGGTCAGCAAAGGGCACAAATTTCTTCCCTTGCAGCAACAACAAAGGCCAACCCCCCTTTCCTTTACTGCTCATTCATCACTGGCCATAAATTCTGTTGCAAACCTATGTCCCTTGGTGACATTGCTTCCAAACTAAAGACAACACAAAGAAAAAACCACAGAGGTGAACAGAAGGGAAAAAAAACTCTGAGAATGAAAGTTTGGAGGGAAATACAGAAGACAATCTTTCCCGGAATGAATTTAAGGTGAGCAAGAGCACTAACTGCCTCGCTCGCAGTTTGTGTCTTTTATTTTCCTTCCAGGTGTTACCATAGCGGGAGGAAAATGTCTTCCTTATAATAAAACCCTGTCCCTTCATATCCTTTCTCCCCTCAAGAGCGGAAGTGAAATCAATTAAGGGAGGAAAGAAATAAACCAGCACCATTATATCCAATGCCATCCCCAAATAACACAGGAACTCGGCTCGGCTCGCCTAGGACTCTCGGAGTCTTTTCATAGATCCAACCAGCAGGAAACAAAGTGATGTCCAGTGCCAGCTCGGTCACGACAGGACCCTGCCTGGTGGTCCCATAGCTAGCTGCCCAACCGGGGGAAGCTGCTGTCTCTTGAGATCACCAGTATTAAACGATCCCAGAAGTGGACTCATTTGCCATATTATCAACTCTGACATCTGCTCAGACACTCCTTAATGCTTAGCAAAACAAAACACACGTAGACAAAGCATTGCTCCCTGCACAGGTATCCTGCAGCCAGACTATCATCTGTAGAATCATGACCCTTACATGTCTTGCTTCTGTCAGGGGAAAGATCTTGCTTAGGAATGAATAAAGAAGCAGCTAGGGCTTGCTGCTATGCAAGATTAAAGACGTTAAATTTTGTCTAAAGACAGTGAGAAACTCCCACCCCGTGACTCTAAGTCACATCATTTGACATTGGCTCTTGGGGGATAGTAATACAGGCATGCCGGAAATCTGATGTATCACGTCCCTTGACTGCTATTAAGAGATTAGATTCACATATATTCATTTTCGTGTCAGCTGGCTGTGTATTAGACCACAGTAAATTAATCTCTGGGCTTTGATACATGAGCCGCGTTCCTCTCCGATTTCTAGGAACTGAATTGGAATCAAATGCCGCACCAATGTGGCAGCGCTCCACTTCAAACTCTTCTCCAAGTTTTATTTTTCCAGAGCCAAGCACAAATATTTACTGCATCTGACAAAGTTCAAAGGACTCTGACCAGAGAGCCTCTGGTCAACAGCTTCGTTGACCTTCCTGGGTTTGCCTGTAGAAATCTACTCAGGCATTTGTGTTGGCCAGCCGAGCCTTTTACATAAGATTCCATCAGTCCATTTTACAAAACCTTGAACACAGGGGAACCATGTTCCCTGGTGTGTGTTGTCTTCCCAGAATACACTAGGCTCAGAATTTCACAATCTGAAAGCTTTCTCTTCAAAAAGGCAACTCAGGTGATTATTCCAGAGTTTCTTTTAAAAAAATAGAAAATTTTTTTTTTATTTTACATACCAATCCCAGTTCTCGGTCCCTTCCCTCCTCCCACTGTGTGCACCTTTTTCCTACCCCACCCCCAGAGACGGTAAGGCCTCCCAAGGGGAGTCAATAAAGTCTGTTATATCATGCTGAGACAGGACCAAGGTCCTCCCCTCTGTATCTAGGTTGAGGAAGGTATCCCTCCATAGGGACTGGGCTTCAAAAAGCCAGTTCACGCGCTGGGATTAAATCCCGATCCCACTGCCAGTGACCACACAGACTGTCCATGACCACAACTGTCACCCACATTTAGAGGGCCTCGTTCAGTCCTATGCTCTCACTAGCTTGGGTCAGCTGTTTCTATGGGTGTCTCCATCGTTGTCTTGACCCCTTTGCTCATATTATCACTCCTCCCTCTCTCAGACTGGACTCTGGGAACTTGGCCCAGTGCTTAGCTGTGAATCTCTGCATCTGCTTCCACCAGTTACTGGATGAAGGTTCTATGATGACAATTAAGATAATCATCAGTCTGATTACAGGGAAAGGCCAGTTCAGGCACCTTCTCCACTGTTGCTGAGAGTCTTAACTGGGGTCATCCTTGTGGAGTTAAAGCAATGCATGAGCACAGATTCTGGGGTCTAAGCATGTGTGCCTCTTGCCTTGGCTTCCAGCTTCCTGGACTCCCTAAATCACGTGGTCCTAAGCCCGTGGACTGTCCAGGTATCTGAGCAAAACTTGTTTCTTTCCTGCTCAAGTGGGCTGGGGAGTCTGAGAGGAGAATTTCTGCCAGGGAGACCTCAGGCCAAGCACAGGGTTATAATGAGCATTCTGGGCACTGGGTGATATTCTTGGGTCCCTGCCCTAGCCACGCCCACTCCCATAACCTCTGACCCTCCCATCGCCATCTTGGGACCCCTCTCTCTCTCTTTCTGCTTCCTTAGCGTGCGCACGCGTTTTCTCTGTCTCTCTCTTCTCTTATCTCTCCTCTCTCCTTTTATCTCTTTTCTCTGTCTTTCTTTCTCCCCCTTTCTTAATAAATACTTATGGCTATTTCCTGTGTTTACGTGTCTGTTACCTGCCGCCACCGTGGGCCAAGGAAGCGTGCCCTCCTGTAGCCGCTCTCCCATGGCAGGCTCCGCCAGCCCGCCCGGGGACCGTTTGCAGCGCTCTCATCGTTTTTTAAGAATAACACTGGGGACATAAAATCAACAAAGGGCAAATGTTAGACCATTCATCTTTGTGTACACACATATCCTTCTAGTACAGACCAGACCTCCAAAGCCAGTTCTATTGCTCATTAAAGAAAATAACAGTGAATTTAAAGAGAATCAGAGAATCAAGCACGCAGGCTCTGAGGGCATAGGTGAGCCCAGGAAAAAAACAGGTCATTTCTCTGAAACATGTTCACTGTATGTGGAGGGGAGCAAGTTGGTAGGAAGCACTTGGTTGGGTTAGAAAGAGAAACTCACTTAATTCAAGGCTCCTAGTCATCCTTAACTTTTCCCTCCCTTTCCCCCAGCCCCCTCTCTGACTCCTCTCTTTCCTTCTCTATGCCCCCTCCCTATTCCTCTACACAAAGTACTAGAAGGAAAATTCCAACCCAAGGTAATTGGTCTCATCAACAAAAACACAGACAATTAATAATCTCACAGCAGTAAATCCCAAAGAAGGGGGAAACACACACAATAACATCCCAACAATGAAAACTAAATTAACAGGAGATAGCAATCACTGGTCATTAATATCCCTTAATATAAATGGATTCAACTTGCCTATAAAAAGACACAGACTAACAGATTGGATATGAAAACAGAATCCATCCTTTTGCTGCATAAAAGAAACACACCTCAACCTCAAAGACAGACATCAACTCAGAGTAAAGGGTTGGGAAAAAATTTTACAAACAAATGGACCTAAGAAACAAACTGGTGCAGCTATCCTAATATCTAACAAAATAAGCTTCAAACTAAAATCAACCAAAAGAGACAAAGAAGTACATTTCACATTAGTCACAGAAAAAAAAATCTATCAAGAGGAAATCTCAATACTGCACATCTATGCCCTGAATTCAAGGGGGCCCTCATATGTAAAAGAAACATTTCTAAAGCTTAAATCACACATTGAACCCCACACACTAATAGTGGGAGACTTCAACACCCCACTCTCACCACTGGAAAGGTCAGTCAGACAGAAAGTTAACAGAGAAATAAGGGAACTAACAGATGTTACGACTCAAATGGACTTAACAGACATCTACAGGACATTCCATCTAACATAAAAGACTATACCTTCTTCTCAGCACCTCATGGAACCTTCTCAAAAATTGATCACATACTCACATACTAGGTAACAAAGCAAACCTCAACATATAAAATAATTTGAATAAACCCCATGTATCTATCTTATCAGATCACTGTGGCTTAAAATTAGAATTCAACAGCAACACTAATTTCAGAAAGCCCATAAACACATGAAAATTAAACAATTCTCACCTGAAGAATCAATGGGTCAAGGAGAAAATAAAGGGAGAAATTAAAGATGTTCTAAAATTCAATGAAAATGACCACACAACATACCCAAATTTATGGGACACAATGAAAGCAGTGTTAAGAAGAACGTTCATAGCACTAAATGCCTACATAAAGAAGCTAGAAAAACCCCACATGGGGGAGGGGGAGGGAAATGGGAGGAGTGGTGGGGAGGAGGCAGAAATCTTTAATAAATAAATAAATTAATAAATTAAAAAAAATAATTAGAAAAACCCCACACTAGGGAATTAATAGAACACTTGAAAACTTTAGAACAAAGAGAAACAAACTCGCCCAGGAGAACTAGATGGCAGGAAATAACCAAATTGAGAGCTGAAATCAACAAAATAGAAACAAAGAAAACAATACAAAGAAACAATGAGACAAAGAGTTGGTTCTTCTAGAAAATCAACAAAACAGACAAAACTTTATCCAAACTAACCAAAAGGCAGAGAGAGAGATAATACCCAAATTAACAAAATCAGAAATGAAAAGGGGGACATAACAACAGACATGGGGGAAATCCAACGAATCATTAGGCCATATTTTAAAAACCCTATACTCCACAAAATTGGAAAACTTAAAGGAAATGGACAACTTTCTGGATAAATATGACTTACCCAAATTAAATCAAGATCAGATAAGCAAATTAAATAGACCTATAACTGCTAAAGAAATAGAAACAATCACCAAAAGTCTCCCAACCCAAAAAAGCCCAGGACCAGAATCTAAAAGATTTTCAAAGAAGAACTAATACCAATACTCCTCAAATTGTTCCACACAATAGAAACAGAAGGAATATTGCCAAACTCTTTTTATGGGGCTACAATTACCCTGATGTCCAAACCACATAAAGACATTACTAAGAAAGAAAATTATAGCCTAATCTCACTCATGAACATTGATGCAAAAATAGTCAACAAAATATTGGAAAATCAAATTCAAGAAATCATCCACCATGATCAAGTAGGCTCATAAACACTTTCAGAAATGTGGCAGGATACAAGATTAACTCAAAAAAGTCAGTAGCCCTCCTTTACACAGGTGATAAACGGGTTGAGAAAGAAATCAGAGAAACATTGCCCTTCACAATAGCCACAAATAGCATAAAATATATCGAAGTAACTCTGACCAAACAAGTGGAAGACCTGTATGACAAGAACTTTAAGTCTTTGAAGAAAGAAATTGAAGAAGACACCAGAGAATGGAAAGATCTCCCATGCTCTTGGGTAGATAGAATTAACATAGTAAAAATGGCAGTCTTACCAAAAGCAATCTACAGATTTGATGCAATGCCCAGCAAAATTCTTCACAGACCTTGAAAAAACAGTACTCAACTTCTGTTTTTTTTTTTTTTTTTTTTTTTTTTAAAAAGCAAAAAACTATGGATAACCAAAACAATCCTGTACAATAAAGGAACTTCTGGAGGCATCACAATCCCTGACTTGAAACTCTACTACAGAGCTACAATACTGAAAACAGCCTGGTATTGGAATAAAAACAGACAAGAGGACCAATGGAACTGAATCGAAGACTCAGATATTAATCCACACACCTACAAACACCTGTTGTTGGAGAGGATGTAGGGTAAAGGGACCACTCCTACATTGCTGGTGGGAGTGCAAACTGGTACAGCCCCTTTGGATATCAATATGGTGATTTCTCAGAAAATTAGGAAACAACCTACCTCAAGACCCAGAAATACCTCTTTTGGATATATACCTAAAGGATGCTCAATCGTACCACAAGGACATGTGCTGAACTATGTTCATATCAGCATTGTTTGTCATAACCAGAACCAGCTCAAATGCACAGTAGCCTCAGTAGTTCTGAATAACCAGGGATGCTTGTGCTCCCGGGTGGAATTTCACCAAAGGATTTTAATTACTGAAACCCACACAGGCATTTCCCAAGGGGCAGTCCCGAGTATCATAAATAATTGCTATTATCATGATAATTTTCAACATGGAAAATGAAAAAGGCTACTTCTCAGACTGACTTCCCAGGTCAGCTTTAGGCTGACAGGGAACTCCTGCCCCTGCCCTCAGGACAATTAGTGCGCAGACTGTCACACCTGAGGTTTCCAAGATGGTTTCTGCAGGTTCCCCAAGGCAATGATGCAAACCACCTTAATTAAAACAATTGGAGTGCTTTATAGTGGGAGGTCGTGTAAGAAATGTAAGGCTATAAACCTCACACAGAGTCTGGCCACAGCAACTCAGAGTCGGCTGTGCAAAAAGAACAGTGACCAGCAAGAACTCCACCTTCAATCAGAACCCACCGGAAACAGACCCTGTTGGGACAGGAGTGCTCGGAGACTGCCTGCAGCTGTGTGCCGAAGTGTGCACCGTCATTAACCGTCCCCCTCCCCACCTGCCCTCCAGCCTCCTGCTCCTGCCCTTCAGAGCTGGGCCAGCTTTCTCTGGGGTATGTCCTGCGTCACTGCAGATAAATGCACCAGAGTGAAAGCTCCTGCCCACTACCTACTGCCATCTTATTGTAGCACAATCAATATAAACCCAGAGACAGAAATTGGCGTTTAAAACCTGAAGGTCAGAAAAGCAAAACAGCCAATTACTGGCTTTTACCTCTACTTCAGTCCGAAACGGCAATCCAGCCTCCAGGGATCTCAGAATAAGACTGTAAGCCGTCTCCTCCCGTCTTATATTCCTCTTTAATGCTGGGATTAAAGGCATGCACCACAACCGCCCAGTTTCTATGAAAAAAAAAAAAAAAAGAAAGAAACAATGTGACTGGAATTAAAGATGTGTGTCACCATTGTCTGGTCTGTAAGGCTGACCAGGGCGGCTGTTTTACTCTCTGATCCTCAAGCAAGATTTATTAAACTACAATGAAATGCCACTACATCTTATCACAATGAACTGCAAAATGATCCCAAGGAACCCTGCAGCATAAACTGGTGGCAGGAGGCACGGCACCTGCTTTCTGCATCTAACCAACAGTGATTAGATGTGATTTCTTGATAACCCGAGTTGGCCACGCTGGCTAAGACGGGCCCTCTATCCTTGAAGAGCTTGCAGTCCTGTCAATACTGAACCGTTTTCTGTTTTGAAAGCTGGGGTCCACCGCCCCCCAGCTTCTCTGGCATCATCCTGTCCTGCATTCATGAAGCCCTGAGATGGTCTCAGCTCCAAGTCCTGGACACATGTGCGAAGCTCCTGTTTCCAAAGAAAGCCACTTCCCGAGGTTCCAGGACACTGAGGAACCGGTGGAAGTCATGACTCGCCTCTCCCATCTAAGCTGCCAGCTCCAGCATAACCTGTGCACACCCCTTTCTTTCACTGACTGAGCTGTCTTAGAACTCATATTTTGATAGACAATGGTATCAAATATTTCATGTTCCTACTGAACTCTACTTGTTCTGCCGAGGGTAGAGGAACTGCTGAAATTATTGAGTTATGTTTGTAAACTTGGTATACTTATCCTCAGTTCTCTAATTTTTTTTATGTATTTTAAAGCTATATCATGGGGTGCCTACCTACTGAGGATTGGTACACACCTCCCTCTTTGTTCTCTATTTGGATAATTTCTGCTGGTCCACTTTCAAAGGCTTCATCTTTCCTTCAACAATATCTAAACTTCTAGTGAGTTTAGATACTAGCCGGACAATTAACCATCACAATAACCCAAACAATTTCCATTTCACACCTTGTATGTCTTATTTTAACCGCCCCTCTGTCTTTCAGCCAATGCCTTTACTCTGTAGCCCAGACATGCCTTGAACTTATAGCTGCTTCTGCCTCAGCCTCCTGACTTATTCCCAGCTCATCATGTTTTCTTTTTAACAGTAACAGCTGGAGCCTGATCTGTGCTCGCTCTCTCGCTCTGTGTGTGTGTGTGTGTGTGTGTGTGAGAGAGAGAGAGAGAGAGAGAGAGAGAGAGAGAGAGAGAGAGAGAGAGAGAGAGAGAGAGAAAGAGCCTTCTGTCTGTCTTTAGATGCATTAGTGTCTGCCCACTCGTTCCAACATTTCTGCCACAGGTATCTCATATGAACTGTCAAGGACTCACTCAAGAGGCTTGAGAGGACAAGAATTTTAGTATGTTGCCTAGAGATCATTCTCGGGATATTTTGGTGAAGAAAATGGCTGCCTTTTGCCTTTGTCAGAAGAGTCTGCCTGAGTCTAAAGTGAAGAGTTTTGGATTAATTCTGTTGGCAGAGGACATCTCAAAACAGCCTGGTGTAGACTCTGTTGTGTGGTTTTTAGTGGTTACTCTAATGAAGATTTATAATGAAAAGGAGCAAGCTGAGTAACGTCAATTACAAAATATAAATTTTGAGGAGAAAAAGAACACCAGAAGGGGGGATAGAGCTAAACCCTATGTTCAAGGAGACTGATTAAAAATGGAATATAGGGAGGGAGTGGTGACCTCCAGGCAAGATCCCATCCACTTATGATTCCAGCTCGGAAAAGGGAACTAAAGAAAAGCTTAGAGCCCGGTGTGGTGGGGCACACCTTTACTCCTAGCACTGGAAAGGCAGAGGCTGGTGGATGTCTGAGCTTGGGGCCAACCTGGTCTCTAGAGCAAGTTGCAGGACAGCTAAGCTTAGGCAGTGAAGAACAGAAGGCTGGTGTAGTCATTGAATTAGGGAGCTATATTCTATCCTCATAAGCAGCCGAACTTGGCAGCTTCTGGCTTCAGGGTTATGTATAGACAAAGTTATGAAATGAAGCCACTGATGCCAGGCTAAAAAGCCTTTGGGGGCCAGGAAGTGTGTGAAATGGGGTGGCTTGAAAGAAAATGACCCCCAAAGAGAGTGGCACTTTTAGGAGATGTGGCCTTGTTGGAGGAAGTGTGTCACTGTGGAGGTGGACTCTGAGGCCTCTTTTGCCCAAGCTCCCTGCAGGGTGACTTGCCGTCAGCTTCCTGTGGTCTGCAAGATGTAGGACTCTTGGTGATTTCTGCAGCACCACATCTGCCTGCAGGCTGCCATGTTCTCTGTCATAATAATAATGGACCGAACCTCTGAACTATAAGTGAGCTGCCGCAATTAAATGTTTTACTTTAAAGAGTTGATGTGGTCATGGTGTCTCCTCACAGTAATAAAAACCCACACTAAGACAGAGAGAACATATGAAGTTCTCACTGCTCCACACATGAGTTCATACCTGAGGATCTAAGGTCCCTAAAGCCAAAGCCAGACGTATCATTCATGAGAAACTCCAAGCTGGATTTGTTTCAGCTCTGGAAGAGCTGCCTTCCAGAGTCCTACATGCATAGAGTCTGCCCTGACAATACCCTAGGAAATCCATCATTCCCCAGGACTCCAGAGATGGCCTTAGCTCTGGTGGACCTAGTAAGGGGATCACAAGTGTGACAATCACCCAGAGTGTCACTGACAGGCTTCTAGCTCCCTGCAAGGTTCCTGACTTAAAGGACTGAGGATTTCTCAGGTCCCAGGGTGCTCATACCAGGGCCCTACCTTTGATTACTACTCAGAGGAGAATTTTAGAGTAGGAGAATTCAACAGCCTCTCCTCTTCTTTTGCCAGACTCACCCTGGCCTCAGGTGTAGCACCTGCACTATGGAATGGTATGAAAGCCGGGAACAAAGCTGGAGACTTAAAAACCCACACAGAGAGACAGAGACACAGGGACACGGGTCATACTTGATACAAGAGTGCCAAGAACACCCCCTTTATTGTCAGCTTATATAGGGCTCTGGCCACGCCCCAGCTCTTGGGATCTTTCAGCTGCAGACTAATCAGAACCCACTCCCCTGCCATCAGGGTCTTCTGCTCAGAGCAGCTGCAGCCTGCTCAGAGCAGAGAAAAAAATGAATTATTTACAAGAAACTCAGGGTCTGGTGGTCCGTAGTCCTCAACACTCAGGGTTTGCCCAACTCCTTCAACTCAGGATTACTAACTTGGTGTCCTGAAACCCACTCTAAGCCCCATACAGATGCTTTTTCCGAGGAAGCCTTCTTGACACCCCAAACTCAAGATGGAATCCTCTTCTGTGCTCGCCTAAACGTCTCTCCTCTCTCAGGCCTGCAAAGATGCTGCAAGCATGTGACCAGCTCCTGGTGTCGAATGTGAGGTGCCACATGGAGTGTCCCACAAGCCTGCACGGGGTTTGGGAAAGCAACCAGGATGGGGTGAGGTCAGGCTTCTGAAGAGGCTGCTTCAGGGGCTCTGAATATCATGGTTTCGGATGAGGAGTCTGCTTCCGGCCTCAGCAGAGGGCTACTATGAGCCAGAACCCGAAGCTTCTGAATATCATGGCAGTGTGTATGGGTTGCTGGAAGAGGAGCATAGTGACCTCACCTCTTCAGTCATGTGTCCCAGTCAGATGGTTGCCAAGAGACCAAAGACCATCTCTACCTGTGGGCACCTCCCACCCAACACAGTGAGAAAGACAAAGAGACAGAGAGACACACAAAGACAGAGAGATCCACACAGAGAGACAGAGAGGCACACATACACAGAGGGAGAGAGGGGGAGAGAGACTCCGTCTCTAGCCCAGGTCATCCCCTTGCATTTGGCTCATTCAGTACCATCTTACAACTCAGTTCAGGGACCAGATCATCTTTCATGACCTTGTTTACTACAAAAACTGTTTGTGCCAAATTCCAAACAGCAGATTTAACCTTGAACCATGAACAAAAGTCATTTGTGTTTTGGGGCCAGCTGGGGGCAGAGCCCTGGCCTGAGCCTGAGGGAAACAACCCCCCGTCCTTGTCAGCAGTGACGGGAACTGCACCTTCCTAAACGAGGAAGGCACAAGAATTGCTACATTTAAGACCTTAACGGTGGTGTTTCTTTTGTGGAGACAACATCCACGTGTACATTAGTGATGATGTTTAGTAACCGTTCTGGGCATCTAAGAGAAGGGCAGAGTTCTCCAGACAATTGAGGTATGAAGGCTTTAAACTGTGCGGTGTGGTTCAAAGCCCAATGCTCCAATAGGATGGTGTTCTCATTAATAGGACGCGGTGTCATGTCTTTTTTTAGCTCGGGAACCGGAATGCTCTCAACATCACATGACCCAAGTGTGACACAGGTGGCCAGAAATTAGGGCAGGTTTTGTTTTTCTCTCCTGGGGTGCAAAGTACTCGGTTTGTTGGAGAAAAATCAGAGCGCCACCTACTCCTCTTTTCCCTGACTCTGGGGTGTATTTTTTATTGGATAGATACAGGTTGCTGTGGGCTTGAAAGGCCCTTCAAGTTTAAGCAGGTGGTGAGGTCTTTCCCGGACCTGTCTGACTGTGAAGTTTAACAATGCAAATCTGGGGTTGGGAATTTAGCTCACTGTAAAGCGCTTGCCCGAGAAGGGCACAGCCCTGGGTTAGCAATGATACAAACCGGCTGCTTAGTGTTTTCTGCTTCCCTGTAACAAACTTCCCACAACTTGGTAAGCCACTGAAAGTCTTTAAGGTTCTGCAAGTCATGCGGGGCTCACTGAATAAAACCAAGACTCATCAGGGTGGGGTCCAATCCCATACCTTCCCAGTTTCTGGAAGCTGTGGGTCCTCGGCTCTGTGGCTCTTTCCTCCATCCTCAAGGCTCATGTTCTTCCCCGTGTGAAGCTGTGTTTGGCGGGTGCGAAAGGGTCTCACGAGGCAGCTTTGGACCACCTGGATCGATTGCTTGGCATTCTCCTCACCCCAGGTGTCCACTTCCCTCTGCCATACTAGAAGCAATGCAAGGCTTAGAGTGTGGACATCGTGGAGGTCATGATCACTATTAGGGTTTTTACCATTTCAAGTTCACATGTGTTTTGAATTTTAAGGTAAAGGTCACATTCTCTGAGTTTCCATCCTGTGGGAGGGAAAAATAGACATATAATTCCACTCTTGTTGTATTTTTCACATGAAGGGTTAGAAGATGTTTTATTCAGGGACTCTTGGAGTACTAGGATGTCCTGAGACAGAGTCCAAGATCTGTACAGAAGGGTGCTCCCACACTGTCTTTCTGTGGTCACTCTGTTCCCCAGGCCCTCTGTGCTGACTCGGCTTGGGGAATATTATTTTCAGGTGTGTGACTTTTGTTTATGCTACATTTGTTTAACTCTGTGAAGCTGTGTTACCGTGCCTGTCTAAAACACCTGATGGGCTGATAAAGAGATGAGTGGCCAATAGTGAGGCAGAAGGAAGGATAGGCGGGGCTGGCAGACAGAGAAATCAAAGGAAAAACTAGGAAGAAGGGGAGCAAGAGAACAAGGAGAGGAGGACATCAGGGGTCAGCCACCTAGCTACACAACAAGCCACGAAGAAAGAAGAAAGGTATACAGAAAGAGAGAAAGAACAAAGTCTAGAGGCAAAAGGTAGTTGAGATAATTTAAGAAAACCTGGCAAGAAACAAGCCAAGCTAAGGCCAGGACCTGATAACTAAGAATAAGCCTCTGTGTGTGATTTATTTCAGAGCTGGGTGGTTGGCCCCTCAAAGAGCCAAAAAGAGTAAAATATGGCACAGCAGACACATTTGACTCTTGTGTATAAGATCCCTCCGCTTTGCTTTGCTGATGCCCAGAAAGTGGCTTCTAAGGAACAGCAGGTGGTCCTGCCCAGCCCAGGCCTGACTCCACCTCCACCGTCTCCATGACTTTCCCTGTTAACAGCGGTACCTTGTCCTTCCTGACTTTTAGCACATGCCACGGAGAACATGTTCATTCCTGGCCTGTGCTTTCTTAATACATCCTAAAGTCCTTCCAGCCTGACTTAATGCATCCTCCTTAGACTTCTGCACATGGAGGTATCTCTAACGTTTGCAGCCCTGGGTTTGGCCTGTGATGTCACACAGAGACCTCGATGTCAGCTTCTTTTCTCCTATAAAATAAACTCTCACAGTAAGTTGGCCAAATCTTTCCATCCTGGCTTGGAAATGTCTTCCAAGCCCAACCTTTGTTTTCCTAAAGAGATCTGGTGACACAGAGATGTAAGTAGAAGAAGCCAAGCCTCCTTCTCTCTAGACAACGCGGGGCATGCCTAACCTACAGCTCATGGGCCACAGGCAGACCAGGAGAGCCATGACTGCAGCCCGACACATTTGTGAATGCTAGCGCCATCATGTCCTAATGTCCAAAGGTTGGACACCCTCCAAAGGCTCCAGGACAGAGAGTAGACCTTTGTGGTGGACACAGCAGCTCGATGCCATGTATTCTCCATCTATGTAGGTGGAATCCTGCCACCATCAGAAGGCCACTTGAACTTCTGCGGCATTTTTATGTGTACAAGGCACTGGTATGACGCAGGGGGCTGGGGGAGTCAATTGTAACTGCTCTAGAAACATGGGATGCCCCAGTGTCACCATGAGACCCCTGGAGCCATCATACCTACCTTTGGATTGAGTGGCTAAGTACCCCTCTGCTGCTGAGAGAGCTGAAATCCTCGGCCTTTGTAAGCTCTGCATTCCCATAGCCTCTCGACATCAGCCATTTCCTATTATTTTCTGAGCGAGACATTGTACCTCACTTCCTCCAAATGTGAGATGATCCCATCAAAATTAGTCTTCTCCTGAGATGAGCCCCCTGGATGGTTATCCAATATCAGCCTGAAAGCATGTAGATACATACATGGGGGGAGGGGTAACAATAATAACCAAAGAAAAGACACTGGGTGTGGCCTCTTTTTTTCTTTTTTTTTTTTTTCTACTTTTACTTCTGGATCAAGTTCAGACCCCCACTCTATTGCTTTGATTTTTTTTTCTTTAGCTCTTTCTTTCCTCTCTTTTCCTTTGCCTTCCTCCCTTTTCTTCCTCCCTTTTCTTCCTCCCCTCTTCCGTCCTTCCCTTCCTCCCTTTCCTTTCCTCCCTCCATCTCTTCTTTCCCTCCTTCCCTTTTTTTTATCTTCTACTGACCCTTTGGATTGAACCCAGGGCTTCAGCCTTGCTGCGTGCTAGGCAGTCTTTCTACTGCTGAGTTCTCTCCAGACCGGCTGGCTCTCTCTTACACTCGGGTCATGCTTTAGCTTAGACCACTGTTTCCCATCAGGTGAGATTATCTGTGTGTGAGTTCTTACATATTGTCTGCACAGATGGAAACAGAGTCGGAATGAGTGCAAAGGTGTTCAACATTGGCCTAACACATTGTAAGATGTCTGCATAACAGAGGATTCCAGGGTTGTCTCAGCCTGTTCAGGCTCCCATAACAAAATAGTCTGTGCAATTTATGGACACAGAAGCCTATTTCCCACAGCCCCTGAAGCTGGCAGAAGATCAAGGTGCTTGCAGGATGGGATCCAGTGACTCTGCCTTCTGGTTCTGAGATCAAATGTTCTCACTGCAATCTCACAGAGTAGAAAGAGAAGGGAGTGCTCTGAGGACCTTAACCCCACACCTTGGATGACCTTATCGCCTCTGAAAAGCCCGGCTTCCTGTTACCCCTGGCTCGCAGGTTGTGGATTTTGGCACGTGAGTTTTAGAGAGACTCACAGATCAGACCTTAGCAAAGTTTAAATTCACTCTCCCAGAACATGGATAAGCAGCTTCCTACATCAGGGCCCACATGTTTGCTGGGGTGAGATTCTCTTCCTACAGACTTTTACCTCTGTCTTCCTCCTGGGTCTCTGCTGAGTGAGAAGCCCTAACCTTGCTTCCCATCCTCTTCTGATCAATGTGTCCCAGTGCCTGATGTTGTAGAATTCTATTTTAACTATGTAAAGACTTGAGTACATGTGTTTATGCTGTAAAATATTACTTTAACTCTGTGAAGGTGTGTTACAGTTATTTCTGCTGCCTTTGTTACCAATGTAAAGAAGTGTTACATTTGTTTCTTCTGCCTTTGTTACCAATGTAAAGAAGTGTTACATTTGTTTCACCTTGCCTGCCAAAGGCACCTGATTGATCTAATAAAAAGCTAAAAAGCCATAGCTAGGCAAGTAAGGGACAGGCAGGGCTGGTAGGCCAAGAGAATAAGTAGGAGGGGAGAGAGAGATGGAAAAAGAGAGGGACATGCCCAGTGCCAGAAGCTGGGCAGCTGCCAGACAGACAGACATGAGAAGCAGTGAAAGGAAGACAGACAGAAAGAGAGGTAAAAAATCCCAAGGCAAAACATAGATGAGGAGAAACAGAGCTAGTGGGATGAGCAGAAGATGAGGTCGAGCATTCATAACTAACAGGAAGTCTCCGTGTCATGATTTGGGGACTAGTCAGTGACCCCAAGGAAAAAGCCAGGTACAGCCCACACCTGCTGTACTGGCAACACCAGCCCCCAGTGCTCTCGGACCAGAGCAGTGCTTGGCACACAGCAAATCTGAGAGGAAGACGCGAGAACTGAGGAAGGCAGACGGGAGGAAACTTGCCCTGGCGTCTTCTGGCAACCTTGTGAGGAAGGAGTCCTGCTGCCCTTACTTCTGTAGCGAGGGCCCTGCTGAAGCTCCCTGGACTTAGGGTTCCCCCAGCGCTGTCTTCATCTCTGCTCTGCTAAGGTGACCCAAGACCTTCCTAAGCACAGCACTGTGTGGCTGGATTTTCTGCATAGCTCTCTCAGGCTGAAAAGAAAATCATTTTGAGCTCAAGGACCCTTACCATTTCTCAATCTGCTCTCCCTTCTAGTGACTTCTCCCTCAGCTCTGGGAGACAGACCTGCTTTTCCATGTCTGTACTCTTTCCTTTCCCATCCCTACTTCTACTTTCTGAGCTAAACTTTCTTAGCATTGTTTTCCAACACATTGATATTTTTTATATCAACTGAATTCATTCTGCTGGATAGCTCATCCCAACATTTTATTTTATTTATTATTTAATATTGGGGTGGGGATGCTGTGGAATACTGTCAAGGCCAGAAAACAGCTCTGGAGGCTCTGTCCTCCCCTTTCACATTTTTGTGGGTCCTAGGGATCAAATCAGGGGGTCAGGCCTGACATGAGGAGCCTTCACCTGCTGAGCCAGTGGCCAGCCTGACTTCATCTACTCATTCTATCCAAAACACAGGAAAGTGCTTCCAATACATGGTCCCTTGTGGCCAACAACAGTTGTGGGTGAGACCAAGAACAAAAACCATTAACCAAAAAAAAAAATTGAGGGTTTGCTTTATTTATTTTTTTATTTGTAACTTGATTACTAGTCTCAGGCACGAAGTTTGTGGATGCCGATATCAAGTCACAAAGTCACACACAATAAACATATGTCCCCTAGCAACTCATGAGCCAGTGGTCAGACATCCTGAATTTGACAATTCTTTGTCCAGTGGGAGTCCAAAGAAGTTAGAAGGTCAGGCACCCTTGAGTTTGAGGATTTTCCATTCTCTTCTGTTTTGGGGGTACCGGTCTTTCTCCAAAGGGCAGCTGCACGACCTTACGTCATGGTTGTTCTCGAATGCTTTTAGATCTTTTCAGCTGCCTGAAGGTCCTATCTGCTCTGAATTCTGCATGGAGGATTGTGCCATCTCAAATGCAGGGCAGGCGTGCACTTCCCTCTAGGTGGGCTCCCCTACAGTATGTGCATGGCTTTGTATTTTCCTTGGCCTCCTTGAGGGGACCTGGGTTCATTGTGCACACTCAGCAGCAAGGAAAGATGTCTGCATAGGAACTGCACAGAACACAAAAGACTCTACAGCAGCCATCCAAAGAACAAAGGCTCTTGTTACCTCTGCTGCCAGGGTATGAGTTAGGTGACTGCCTTGCCCATTCAGGGCTATTTCTAGGCACAAGGCCCAGTTTCCTTAGAGAAAGTGCCCTGTTTTCTCTAAAGGATATGAGAAGAGGAGGTCCTAGGCTGGCCTGTAGGTCTGAGTAAGTACCCAATGTCACGGGTCCCAGGCATTGACCTCAGGTCCTCAGGCTTAGCAGCAAGCCCCTCTAACCACTGCACCATCTCACTACCCCACAATATGTTATTCCAGCCATCTGCCTAGTTCATTCACAAGTGGAAATGTCCCTGAAGCTCTCAGAAAAAACACCGCCACTCCTTGCTGTCTTGGAATGTAATTCCCCACCCCCTCCGATCCCAAAGCCTTTCTTTCTCTCTGACAGGAATTCCTCTACACTTTTGCCTCCCCAAACTCTTGGCCTCACTTTCTACATCACTGTTGGGGTTACTTTTCAGGAACCTCTTTTGGACAGGTCAGTTGGAAGTGGAAGGGGGTACCCAGCTCCTTCTATTAGCAGAACAGACCAACCAGAAAAGCAAAAGTGGTCTTCACAGTCCACTAATTAAAAACTCTGAAAGGAGGCACTGAACATCACCATTTCCCTCAAAACCTATCTCCACGTTACAATACATCTTTCAGATCTCAGAGCCATGTGGGATCTCGAATTCAAAGTCCCTGGTCCTCTTCACACAATGGCAGCCAACAATGAAAACTAACACAATGCCTGCAGAGATCCAGGGAACGAGGATATATGGAAAGTTGCCAGAAAGAAGGAAGATGAGGCCTCAGAGAGACACCCTTTAAGACATCACACAAAGCACACATAACATCAGCCCCAGATGCAACCTGAATTCGGGAGGAGAGCAGAAAGATGCGAGTACCAGACCCTGCAGCCATGCTGTGGACGAACAGCCCTCCTGCAAGGCAGCTGAACCCAAGGTCTCCTGACACCCACACCTAACACCCAGACACCATTTGCATGTACAGTGACAGTGAGGTGTTTGAAAAATGCAGCTGGGTACAAGGCAGCCTTGGAACTTTCCATGTCCTCTAAGCATCCCTGGCACTTCCTCGTCGTTCACTGGTTCTGTTGTTTGTTGTTCACCTATAAAATTAGTGTCTGAGTCATATCTGCTTTCTCCCCGTGTCTCAGTGTGTCCCTGCTCCCGGCCATGTGACACTTCTGCTACCGCCTTTCCTGACCCCGAGGACGCAACAGGAAATGTATGCCTTCCCATAGGTGGGTGGGCAGGAGCCGACGCTGGTAGCTGTGGAAGGCAGAGTGGTTATAGAGGTCTCGCCTACCAGTGTCCCAGAGGACATGAGTCCCAGTTTGTAAGCCTTAGGCTCCCAGAGCCTGCATCACCTCGAGGCTATAACATGCTAACTGTGCCTGTCTGCCCGTCTAGGTACTCCTCTCCTCTGACACTACACAGCTGAAGCGCAGCTTTTTATCAGTTTTAGCTTGGTCTTTGTTCCCAAGGCTTAATTTAAATCTCTGATGACTGGAACACTTAATTGACTTTTAAAGAAAGTAAACAACAGGAAGTGGCTTTTCATCAGGCTGCACTAATTGACTTCACCCACAGTGCGCTTGGTGGGAAAGCAGCTTTCTCCTCTTTCCTGGGTGGCTTGTGACAGAGAGATTAAGCCCCCTGTGGCATCTGTGGCACTGCCAGCCTGGCCTCTTTCCAAAGAGCCTCCTGCTGGCATCTGCTGCCTTGGGTCTTCTGGCCAATGAGGGACATGATGCCATCGTTACACAAGTGACCTGCAGGAGACAGAGGGTCTGGCTGATGCTTAAATAGGAAACACAGGTGATCCTGGTCTCTGTCCCAAGTCTAAGAGCCTTCCGAAGTCTGTATGGCAGACACAGTTAGCTTCATGTTTCCCAAGGCCATCGGCATTGTAGAAGGAATATAAGCCCGTGGCTTTCCTTGTACTCATGTGTGTCCCACAGTCTCTTTGCAAGTGAATTCATTGACAAATATATACATATTTTACATATTGACATATTACATATTGACAAATATGTACACCAAGCATTCAGATGGTTACAGCCATTGAGTGTTTGACCTTGATTGATGATTTAAAATCATACATTTATAGATTGATGATTTAAAATAATACATATATATTGTATGTATATAATTTTCAGAGGTGGCCACACATAAATATACTGGGTCACTCCAAAGGAAGGAGACAGAACACTATTCCACAGCAGCTTCTGACATCTGCGTCCCTCAAGCTGTGGCGGTCGATAACGGGGGAGTTGGGATGTTGATCATGAAACAGCTTTATGTAGAATCTTGTTTTTCATTCAAAAACATCTGGGGGGTACTCTAGCTTCTGTTTTTAAACCTGGCTATAGCATGGTATAAGATAGATGGTTTAAGGAAATGTCAAGCTTCACATAAATTTAATGTTCTCAACTGGGAACACCTGAGGACGATGCTGCTTGCTTCCATGGTGACGAGCAGAGAGCACTAGAGCAGCGAGCTCTGTCCCTGCCAACTGGAGTCTTGCTTCCTGGGTTGTTTTGAGAAGCATTAACCCACTCTGCTGAAACATAAGACGGAGACCTGAGATACCATGAGGGCACGGAAGTCAGAGCAGTGTGTTTTTTTTTTTAGATAAACACAAACAATGCGTGATAACCCCGATGTAAGGCCAGGTGAGGTATGCCTCATGTGTAGATATAAGGACTGAAGACACGGGCAAGCCAATTTGTTCATGGACTTGTGTGTTGTGACCATGAAGATGATGGAGATGGCAGGTTGATTGTGCAATCTGGTGAGAGAAGGCTGGACCACCCTCCACGAAGAAGTGCTCTGGCGTGGTTCAGATGGGTGGAAAGAGGAAGAACTCATTCCCAGAAACAGAGTGGCTTGTGAGTACAAAAGGACATTCTGACTAGAACGCTGAGGGCCAGGTGAGGACCTAGGCACACCCTTCTATTCCTCATGTGTGTGTGCCAAGGAAGACCCTTCAGCAGGGAAGCAGCACCAACAAAATCAAGTGCCAAGAGAAGTCCTCAGTTGGGCACTCTCTATGAACGTGTCTCAAGCCCTGGGTGCTTAGATGATGGGCAGGCATGAGTGATCTCAGGATGGGGGTCATGGAGAGAATACCAGAGGCTGGACAGATGACTCCAGGGCTAAGAGTGCTTCCTGCTCTTCCAGAGGCCCTGAGTTCAGTTCCCATATACTTGAGTCTCCCAAAAGTGTCCTACAATCTACCCTGGCATTGCCCTTGAGATGGGTTCCTGTCTGACCAGTCTCTGACTGTCCTCTTGAGTCAGATCTTCACACCTCACCGGGCATCAGGGTCCTTGCCCACCTATCAAACTGGGTTGAAACAGAGCATCTCTGAGGGAATACGGTGATGTCATCCTGGGACCCCACCTCCAAGCTATGTCATAACCACATGACTCTAGGACCACAGAGACTGCTGAAGCCTACAGATGCCCACTCAGCTTGTGTTGGCTGAGTGTCAGGGATGAAGATAATGACACAGTTGACCTGTGTCCTTCCAAACGCAAGCCTTCAGAAACTGACTGCATTTGTAAGGCAGAGGCTCTGAAGAGTTAAGTGAAAATGAGATCTTTTTTACCAGCTAAGACTGATGTCCTTATAAAACTCAGCCATGAGATAGTGACATACATTGAGAGATGGAACTGATAGCCTCTGTCAGCCAAGGAAAAGCCTCCAGAGAAACGAACCCCAAGACTCATTGACCTAGGATCTTCAGCTTTGGGGTTGAGACAACATCCTCAAACCTGCCACATGGGATTCTTTGTCTGTGTGCTCCAGGAGACTGGTGTGGGGGTTGGAAGGGAGCAGCTAACAGAGGGCCTGACGCTGCAGGTACCAGCCCCTCTAGACAGGCAGAGATTTTTTAATGTCCCCACAACTCGCTGCCAGGTCCAGAGTGATGTCAGCTGAGTGACAGCCAAGTCAGCCAGGTCTGTGGGAACCAAAACACAGTAGTGACACAGCCCGCACACAGTAGTGATACACCCCACACAGTAGTGACACAGCCCACACAGTAGTGACACAGCCCACACAGTAGTGACACAGCCCCACACAGAACTGACACACCCACACAGTAGTGACACAGCCCACACAGTAGTGACACAGCCCCACACAGAACTGACACACCCACACAGAACTGACACACCCACACAGTAGTGACACACCCACACAGTAGTGACACACCCACACAGTAGTGACACACCCACACAGTAGTGACACAGCCCACACAGTAGTGACATTTACTTCCCTCAAGCTCACGCTCAGAATCTCCCACTGCAGGAGGAACAGAGTAGTCAGAGTCTATGAAAGCTGACGCCATGTGGGCCTGCAGCTCTCAGAACAAGGCACGATTGTGCTCTCAGAGAGCGGTGTTCCAGTGCCTGTGTGCCAACACATGCAGACATTGCCACGCCACTTCCTTCCACATCCTTGCTTCTCATGAGCCCTGCTATACCCTGCAGCCATGGCCGAGGATCAACACTTTGAGCTGGTGTTCAGGACATGGCTCTCTGCTGGAGAAAACACACTCTCTCATCCCTCAAAACCCACTCCACCGAAGTCAAAAGCCTCAGTGACATGCTGAAGAGTGCTGGGTCCTCTTCATCCACACACCCTCCAGGACTACTGTCCACATGTCCCGACAGGGACTAGCCCTTGTGTCATTTTCCAGGTACTGCTAGCTTGCTGAACATCATGTGTAAACCACCCTATTCCATGTGTCTGTGATGTCTAGGTTGGTATGTCCTTCTGGACTATACATTGTATGTTCAGATGCTGTGACGACATCAGGAAACATCTCTCAGGGTTTACAGTCCCTTTTCTAGGTACCTGCCGTGGACAGAGAGCAAATGGTCCACAGATTGCACCTACAGAAGTCAGTCTAGATGCCTCGCATGCTCGTGAGAATACCACCAGGATGCTGACTCCTAGGGCCCTGAGATAAGAGACCTTAACAGAGGGGAGCACAATAGTGACAAGTAGAGAGGCGCCCATATTTACATCAGTACCAGAAATGCACTCCTATCAGCCATGTTATGGCTGGCAGAGATCAATAAGAATGGAAAAAAGTGTAACACGATGATGGGCTTCCTGGGTAACGTAAAAACCTCAATAAATTTCTAGAGTATTTAAGCCTCCTTTAAAAAAAAACGGTAGATGCAGTGTGACTCTTAAGAGACAGCTTTCCGGCCATGTGGTGACAGAGACTTGGTACTCCTCCGACAGCATCTGTGATGAACTTAACATTTAGACAGTCTTCATAAAGCAGAGCCTCACAAATATGGCGAAAGTTCTGACCGGGAAGAAAAGACTGACCTTCAGACAGAAGAGGAAGTGTGCCTGCCTGCCTGAGCTCAGCTGAGGCTTCCATTGGGCCTGAACTACACCATCAGGTCTTCTAGTGCTCAGGCCTTCATTATACTAAAGATGTTCCTGGGTCTACATTTCACCAACCATACGTCTGGACATCCGGGGTCCCTCAGTCTCAACAGCCATGAAAGCCATCTCTTTATAAGATGGATGGATGAATGGATGGATGGATGGTTGGATGATGAATGGATGGACAGACAGACAGACTGTAGGTAGGTAGTTAATAGATACATTGGTAGATGGTTGATACATAGATAGATGATAAATGGATGAACGTAGGTAGGCGGAGAAATAGATGATTAGATAATAGATACAGATAGGCAGAGAAATAGCGAGCTAGATGACAGATACAAGAGGACTGACAGATGGTTGATAGAAGATAGTAAATAGATAAATGGGGATATAATAGATACATGGGTAGATAGTAGACAAAATGATGAATGCATAAAAAGATACCAAAAGAGAAGGAGGAGGAAATAATTTTTTAAATAGGAAAAAGATTTGAAACTCACTTAGCAAAGAGGATGAGAGGGCACCCAGTCTGATGGTTAGTAACTGTATGTGAACTTGTGTGATGCCTGGAGTCATCAAGAGATGTCTAATGAAATGAATATGCTCACACTGCCCACCACCAGCATGCCTAAGACTAGAAAAATGGGCCACAGCTGGCATCACACTGGCAGGACACACAGCAGGTGGGTGGGCAAAATGCAATAGCCAATCCCTGAACAGCACTTAGTATTTGGCCACTGCCACCCCACTCCTAAGCATTGCTCTAAGAGGGGAAAGTGTCCACAGGCAAATGTTCATGGGACCTTCTTCCCAGAAGCACAACCCTAATCCAGCCTTACAAACAACCACACATCCATCAGCCCACACATCCCCAGCAGCTGCAGCAGACTTGTGCAGGAAAGGCTCCTCTCAATATGGGGAAAGGATGGCCGTCACAAGCTGAAGCATCAGCACAGTGAATAAAGGACCCCACTATATGGTGACAACCAGGGATAAAAGTAAAAACTTTTATCCCTAGAAGACTGGGGATACAGCTCGGTGGTGAAGTGATTGTTTAACAGGGACAAAGCCCAGGATCTCAAAATACAATGGCTAAGTAAATAAGCAAAGGTACATGCATCGAGGGTAGAGGCCCCTGACCATCCAAAGGTGAATCCCTTCGAGGCCCTTGAGGCTTCGCCATAGCCACCCAGCTAAGATACTGGTCATTGGCAAGTTTGCATGAGATATTACCCTAGCCAGAGTTGCCTAGGAAGCTTCACCGGTTCCTGGTGTGTACCTAGAAATGTTCCTCAAATGTCTGGCACAGCCTAGGACCCCTCGGCCATCCAGGACACGTGGCTCTGATGACATTTCTGACATACTTCTGGGGTATGTGTAAGCATGTTACTGACTGACCCCCAACCTCTTCTTCATCTGTGTCTCTCCCCAAGATCAAAGCCCCCCGCCCAGGTGCTCTATCAGAGGGACCTCTGCCGAGAAACCTGGCCCATAGGAGCCAAGTGCACCTTCCTTGGTTTGCATATTTCCCCAGAAGCTGACTCTTACCCATTCTTCCCTTTTCCTCCAATAAAATAAGCAAATGCATATTTTGTGGTGGCAGACCATAGAGTAACTGGTAACAAACCAAAACCAAGCCCCTTGCCTGCGATCCCAGCATGCCAGCAGCGCCTCCTCCCACCCACATGGCATCTGCAAAGGCCCACGGGGTAGACAGACTTGTGTTCTTGTGTCTGTCCTTGCCTATATGGCTTGTTATTCCCTACTGGAGTAAAGACATAGATGTGGAAGAAAATCCTCCCAATTGCGCTTCAGTAATTCTTTCAGAAGAGTCTAGAAAGCCCAGGGACCAATGCTTCTGTCTGTACTCTGAAACTGGAGATAGCAGGTGGTCACAGGGTTATTCTAGGAAGGGCCATGATAGGGTGTAGTGAGATCTCCATTCTTTCTGGCTGACACCAGCTACAACAGGACAGCAGTGCCAGAGCACTTAGCTAAGGTTCACAGTACTGCAAATGGAAAAAGACCTCTAACTCTCATTCTCTCTCTCTCTCTCATCCTCTCTCTATCTGCCTCTGTGTGTGTGTCTACCTCTCTCTCTATCTCCCTGTCTGTCTCTCTCTGTCTGTCTCTGTCTCTTTGTCTCTGTCTCTCTCTGTCTGCCTCTGTCTGTCTCTCTTTCTTTCTCTGTCTCTCTATCTCTGTCTATCTCTCTGTGTCTCTGTCTCTTCTCTGTCAGTCTCTGTCTCTCTATCTATCTCTGTCTGTCTCTGTCTCTCTGTGTGTCTGTCTCTCTCTCCATCTCCCTCTCTCCTCTTTTTCATTCACACTGCATTTTAATATCTCTACCTGTTTTATCCACCAATCCTGTGGCACTCTCATGCAGTGGTTACCAGGAGCACTGCAATCCTGGTTGACCAATAGAACTCTCCTGTCTGCCGAGGTCAACTGAGTTCTTGGCCTGACAGTTCCAAATGACACCAGGGCAGACAGGTCCACGGAACTTCAGGGATAAGCAGCATTGTTTAAGGTGAAATTTGGTGCTGATATTAAGCTGTTCAGTGTGGAAATAAAGGTTTTGTTAAGGGGACCACCTAATGTCTCCAAGCACCATGGAATCTTACTTCCCATTTCCATGGAAGGCAGGAGGAAATGAGATGGCACAACTTCCCTGTAAAGAACAATCCAAAATATTGTGTAAGGACAGGGCACCAACTCCCTCCACAGAATGGTTTGACTGTTGCATCTTTCCACAGGGTGCCTTAAGGGTCATTAAATTCACATGTCTCACCAGGGAGATGGCTCAGTGGATAAAGGCATCTGCCACCACACCTGATGACCTGGGTTCAATCCTGGGACTTACATGGTGGGAGGAGGGAACCAACTTCCTAGAACTGTCCTCTGACCTCCACACACGTGTCATGACATGTACACACACATAGACACACACATACATGCACAGGCTATGTACACAATAGTAATAAATAAAATACATCTTAATTAACACATGCATTTCTCGTGTGTTTTTCGGCATGTGAGAGCAATCTCTCACAAACATGATTGGGTTCCATTCTCTACACAGCTTTACAGTTTGTTTTCTCTTCTCTGGGCAGAACTCTGTCTCCGCAGGGAAACTTATCTACCAACCAATTTGATCTTTTGACTTGGAGAACAGAGGCTCCTGCTGCGTGAGAGTCTCTGTGCATGGCTCATGTAACCATCGCTGTCGGTAGATCTGTTCTTCCGCGTTCTGTCGAACTCATGACCAGGTCTTTGCTCACTACTGTGTCCTAGAACAAGTGCCTAGAAAAGAACCAGAAGACTGCGTTGCCTTTAGTTCCTCATATCTTGGAATAATGTGGTGTATTTTCAGTGGTGTTCAATTAAACCCAGTGTTCTCATACGATGAACTGTGTCAGACGGACCCCCAAGGAGCCATCCTGCTTAAAGCTGGGACAGATAGCCGAGTCCCACCAAGTCTGCTTACTCGAGGGGTCCAGGCTGGGCCTCCATGTATCTGTAACCAGATTCCAGTGCTGCTGCTGCTGGTCCAGCTGCTGCATTTTGGAACTACTTCAGCTAGACCATAGCCATGCCTTCAGGAAGTGGGTGACGGCCTGGCCTCTGGAACTGTATGTAGTGAACCGGAACTTGAGGGTTAGGTCCCTAGCCCTGCCTTTCCAGGTGAGCAGGAAGGTGAGCGCCTCAAGCAGAGTTGCCCAGACCATCACCCACTAGAGACCCTGCCTAAAGCTGTTCACCCGTGCCTGTCTTTCTCAGAGGGGACCCAGGGCCTCACAGACTCCTGTGGCCTTTTAGCACATCCTTCATTCATGTGCTTTCACCTTTTGAATGGTGTCTGAGACACGACAATTCCACCCCCAAAGTCTCACATCTGCCCTTTATGCAGGGCATGTTAAGATAATCTTGCCCAACAGTAAGACTGGGAAGTCCATCCAGAGTGCCCCTGAACTCAGTGCCATCATGGTATCAGGCCTGCCAAGCAACACTGTGCCCCTTCTGTGATCTGGCTTGTTTGTGCTTCTTAGAGGTCACATTTTAAACTATAGGACAGGATCCCCAGAGTAGGAAGGCTAGGCAATGCTGTTCGCTGTCTCAGGACCAGAGTCAGGAAGGCTACGCAATCTATCCACTCTCCCCAGGACACAGCCCATGTGGCATTTACTCCCTGGACCCTGGCCAAGAGTGGCTGGCAGCAACTGATCCAAAGTAGTTCTGTGTGGAAGTCTTGCTCATGTGACATGAGAGCCGGAGGAATGAGTCATCCGAGTTCAAGGCCCATATTCAGGCTTGGTGACACTCTGCTCTGTTTCAGATCTAACCTTGAAGTCCCCGGAGAACCTCTATTCGGTCTCTTCATCTAGCTACGTCCCTGAGAAGTCATACAGCTGCATCGCCCTCCAGGGACGTCGACACACAGGGCTCTCCTTCATCCTGGAAAATAGAGATATCTTAACTCTGTGTTTCTCAGGAATGGGAGAGGCTGGGAACAAGTTTGGTTAAGCAGACATCAGGATGCCATTCCCCGTGTCTTTTTCACTGGCTGGAGCTTCATGGTCGCCGGTGATTGTCGTGACCGTAGTTCAGAAATGCAGAGGGTGAGGTTCAAAGGTGGCTTCCGTGGCTTTCTGAGGACGTTGGCTAGAAAATAAAAGTCCAGAGTCCCGGGCCCCTCTGCTGCTCGTTTGCACGGCCTCTAAATGGCTGCGGTGCTCATGGCCGTCAACAAGAAGCAGTTAGCATTCCTAAGCCCTACTGCGTGTTGAGCACCGTCTTCTATCTGGCTGCTGGTGTATGTAGCCCCCAATAAGAAGCAGTTAGGTTTCTTTCTGTTGTTGTTGTTTTGTTTTGTTTTTGTTTTTCAAGACAGGGTTTCTCTGTAGCTTTGGAGCCTGTCCTGGAACTCGCTCTTGTAGACCAGGCTGGCCTCAAACTCACAGAGATCCACCTGCCTCTGCCTCCCGAGTGCTGGGATGAAAGGTGAGAGCCACCACTGCCCGGCTGCAGTTAGGTTTCTTAAGACCTACTATGTGTTGAGCAGTTTGGGGAATGGGTCTCCAAGGACGATCTATGGACTGAGCTGGGTCTAGATATGGAAGATAGGTCCTCCTCAGAGTCAAGAGGCCTTTGACAGGCCTAAGACAGGGAGGACTCACTCGCTAATATGGTCCAACTGGTAGGTACGAGAGCTAGGATTCCTGGCTCACTCCTTCCTCAGAGCTACTTACTTTAGAGTTCTGGGACAGTTTGTCAATTCCCTATTGGCTCCTCTCCTAATGATTGACACTGTGTTGGGGGTCATCAAAAGACTTTACTGCCCTTGTCACAAGGCTTAGAGACCCTTCTCCTCTCCCCACAGTGATAGGATCTAGTATTCACAGAAGCAACAAGCACACAGATGAGTATGGTGATGATGGCAGACTTCCTGCGACGTGGTCATCTGGGGGAGAGAAGTGAGGGCTGAAGGAGACAGACATGGTCTCCATGTCCTGAGGCAGCAGACGCTCACAGGGGAAAACACCCATAGCAGGTACAGCAGACAGAACCAGGATTTTCTGGGCTCTCCTTTATTTATGGGAGGACCTTCAGCATAAGCAGCAAGAGTGTACCCCAAAAGCCTATGCTGACGCTGGGTACTGATTTTTGCATTTCAGCTCAGGGAGCCTAATGAAGTTACTGACCACACCCCCTGTAACACCTGCGCCTGTGTTACTCTCTCAATACAGTGGGCATGCGAACTGTACTAATCGGCCATCAATACTGGAACAGAACTACTTGCACCCATTATCAATTCACCCTCACCAATCAATTTCTTACCTGCTGGCCAGCCTTCCGAGGGCGTCTCAGGGGTCCCCTACTTCCCGATCTCGCTGATGGGCCTCCAACTGTAACACCTGTGCCTGTGTTACCCTCTCGGTACAGTTCGCACGCCACTGTACCGTATGTGAGCCGGGCCAGGGCCTGGAGATTGAATGAACACATAAGAGACCTGGGTCATCTGAAAAGAGATCAGCCCACTGCCCTTTATTCAAATTTAGGGAAAACCTCTGCTGTACAATGGAATATCCCCCCAGGCAGGTGGGAAATTACCACGCCCAAGGTGGAGTCAATAATGCCCTATAGCTAATCACCTGGCGGGGGGGGGGGGGGGGGGGCACAGGAACAAACAGGAAAAGCTGGCTGGCCAGAGACTATCCTCAAAATAAACACGGGAGCAGGGGTAGACCCATGGGCCATACAACCCCCGAGGCTTGAAGGGCACAGGCTAGCCAGAAGGCCTCAGATGCTGCACCAGATCTAGGTCCTGGAGCCAGGTAGGTTATCACAAAAGGAGAGACAGCTCCCTACTGGGACCAGAAGTAGGAAAACCAGTCTGTGTGTAAGCAGCAGGTTCCGCCCAAACCCATCTTCAGTCTTTCCATACTCCAGAAGAAATGTGGGGTCTGAGGAAGACCCACAGACCTGAGCAGTAGAGAGAAGCAAGGGCAAGGACCGCACAAACTGCACCTCCAATGAGCTTGGGAACACTAGCGAGTGGTCGGGAGGATGGGCAGCCCAGTCTGAGGACGTCCCTTGTTCAGGGGAACAGGAACAAATGCTTAAGTAGCAGTCTAAGAGTACAAAATCTCACAGCCTTGCAAAGGAAGGGGTATTATACCCCCAACATGGCAGCTCAGTTCCTGGCCTGGGAGTCTATTGACGGTACCTCAGATGACACCCAACTTGGACACCAGTCTCTCCAGCTATAACAACTCAGAACAAGATAGGCCTTGATGTCTCAGCCAGAGCTGGTATCCACGTAAAGAGGGGGCAATATGTGCACACACAGAGAAAGGATAACCTGCACCACAGAGCAAGAACTGGAGCAACATAACTGGGATCTAAGGATGCAGGAAGGAGCTGCAAGATTGCCTAATGGGCATACATCAACCTGCGGAACTATAAAGAATAAATTCCCATGGTTCCATACCCCGAGGACCGGGACCATGGGTGAATACCCGTCCTTCTCCAGGTGAGCATGGTGAGGTCAGAGCTGGACACTCAGGGAGGAACTGGGAGGGGCCCAGAGGGCCAGCCTCCCTCCATCCAGCACTGCTCAGCTCCCCAGAGTTTCCACTCATGCACCCTCTTTGCAATTCCCTGTCCACCTGTAATGGGAGTCACTTTGCTCCGAGGAGCAGCTGGGAGAAGATGCAACTGGAGGCTCCCAGGCTTCTGAGCCCGCCCGGGTCACATGCTCCTGGCAGCCGTCAGCTCACGCGGTGCCAAGTGCTCGATTGAGTCGTTGGCATGTCTGGCATTTGGGGTTACTCTCTGCGGACGCGGGTGAGTCACAGAGAGCGTCACCACTGTTCACGTCAGGGCTACACCAAGGCATTCTGCCCAGGGACACAGGAGCTCCTAATATAGACACATGCAGGTCGTTTCTGTCAGCACCCTGGGGCCTGGGGATCACCCTGGGAAGTCACATGCATTCCCTTGTCATCCACCCAGCATGTTGAGGTGTCCTTTACAAACACCACAGAAACCAAGGCTGGCACCAGGACAGGGAGCCCAGAGCACTGCCCTTTCTTATAATTATAGTCGAAGATCATAGGTGGGGGTGGGGAGGGCAGAGGCAGGGGTTAGCACTGCGTCGTGTGTGTGTGTGTGTGTGTGTGCGCGCGCGCGCGCGCGTGCGTGCGTGCGTATAGGGAGAGAGAAAGAAAGAGAGAGAGAGAGAGAGAGAGAGAGAGAGAGAGAGAGAGAGAGAGAGAGAGAGAATTTGACCATGTGCACAGGTGTAAGAGGGTAGGTATGTATATGTAGATGTGTATAAGTGGTGCAGGCTCTGCCACTTTGTGTGGAGTGTGCTGCCCCCTAGAGGACAAACAGCCGGGACACTTGGGAAGGCACCAAGCTGTAAATCCCATTGCCCTTGAGGCTCTGGGTTTCAACAAGGAAGGGTAGACAGGGTACAGTGCCAGAGGATGTGGTTCCAGGGGAGGTAATGGGTTGCAGAGGTAGATGTGGGGCACAAGGTAGGGGGATGGGATGTAAAAATGGAAGACGGGGTACAGGAAGGAGAATCGGAGTGCAGGGGGAAGGATGGGGTTCAGGGAGGAGGATGAAGATAGGGAGAGATTATGGGTACAGAGATTGTGGGGTCCTGGGGGCAATGGGATGCAGGGGATGATGGGTACAGGGAGGAGGATGGGGTGCAGGGCTGGGGGCGGGGCCTGTCCAATGGTGGAGAGAAGCAGACATTCCTTGACCCTGAGCACTAACTGAAGAGACGCCACTCTGTGTCACTCAATCCAAGTGACCCCTTTCTGGCCTCTGTTCTTCCAGGCGCTTCCTGCGCGGTCTGACCCCCTCATCTCTGTGAACGTCACTGGGGTGGATTCCCCTCCGCAGCATAAGTGGTCTTGAAAAGCCGAACAAGTGATGAATCGGAGAACTTCCTTTTGTGGCATTTCCTCAAGAGCTGCAGCTGTAGCTCTTGGACCAGGCATGGCTCTTGACCTGCCAAGAGAAGCAGCCACTCCGGGGCCACCGAGGCTGGGACGTGGCTTCTCCATCAGGGCTTCCAGAAGGAACCGTCCCTTGAGAACAATTAGCTCAGCCCAGTGAGACCCATGCCAAACATCGGACCTCCAAAAAAGTGATGGGTCTCCTTATCAAGATAGTGATTGTTCGTGGGTCATTAGTGGAAAGAGGTATCAAGGGAAACGGCTTTTCTTCTACAATCCTGGGGGCAAAGAGGTTTGTAGACAGAAGAAGAGCACAGGGGAAAACTGCGAACTGATTGTCAGTGTTAGTAATAACTAATTGCCGCGGTGTGCTAAATTAACCTCCCTCCAGCCAGTGTGCCCTGGCTGTATCCAAGGTCGTCTGCGCACGTGTGCCTGAAGGCATGCTTCCAATTAGCCGGTCATCCTTAGATGTTCTTAGAGAGGAAAGGGTTTTATTCCGTTTATAATTGTAGTTCATCATTGAGGGGAGCCAGGGCAGGAACTCAAGGCAGGAACTGAAGCAGAAACTGTAGAAAAAATGTTGTCCACTGACTGGCTTTCTGTGACTTGCTCAGCCTGCCTTTTAAAAATACAAGCCAGGACCACCAGCCCAGGGATGGGGCCACCCACAGTGAGCTGGTCACACTCACGGCCATCATTAATAAAACGCCCCACTGACCAATCTGACGGGGGCATTTTGTCATTCGAGGTCCTTTTCACGGCGACCCCAGCCTGTGACCACGGGGCAGAAAACTGACGGGCACAAATGGATTACAAAAACTAAAGGGGGGACATGGAAGCAAGAAGGGGGATTTTGGGCAAAGAGGGGGTTCGCTGAGAATGAAGGAAGGGATAAGAGGACTGGGCATGTTTAAAAATACTTCATAAATGTGTATGAGACTATTAAAAAAAAGACTTTTAAATGAAATATGTCAGGCAAGAGAAAAGGAAATCAGAGGCAATTCTCTGAGTGATGGAGTTTGAAGACCTCCAGAGCAGACCGCGGTAATGAAGATGCGCACACCTTTAAGTGGCCTTTCCTTTAGCGCAAGCGCTCTTTGTGACAAGAAGGAACTAGGCATGACCAAAGCCAAGGGGCCCAGAGTATTCATGTCAACCATCTTTATGACACAATAAACGTGCCCAGGAATGTTCTAATCTCTCAGATATGTCTTCATAACCCTGAGCGAGGCCTGTCCAGCCCTCATCTGCCATCTTTCCTTCTTAAAAAAAACGATGACCTTGAAGTGAGCATGCTCAGTGATGCGCATCTCAAACTACGCACGCTCAGGTTTAGACACAGCTGCACGTGTTGTGTCAGCTCCTGAAAAAAAAAGTCCCCAACCTTTGTAAGGGAGAGACTGCTTTGTCAATGACTTCACTGCTCTCTTTTCTTGCTGGAGGGAACACGTCTTCGCACCATGGGCTTCTCGGCTATGCTGGATCTGGCTTTGCACTCACCGAGAGGAAAACCCGTCGATGGCGTTATGAATCCCACATGCGCAGTGTGCATTGTGTGCAGTCTTTTCTCCAAAAATAGCAAGAGGGGAGAATAAGAACATGTGATTTTATCTTCTTTTATGTGTATTCGAAAATACCAGGAGCACACGAACAACTAATTAGACTGTTTCCTGGGGCAGTGGGGAAGAGGCCTGTGGAGGAGGCGGGTAAATCTGGAAGAGGGGGAGTTTTCACGGTGTTCCCTTTTTGATGTATTTTTAAACCATGTGAATATGTTACCTATTCAAAAAAAAATTTATTAATCTTTTTTTTTTAAAAAAAAATAACAGGCTAAACAAGTTTCTCCAGACCATACTGAGTGGATTTCAGATCTTGAACTGACCTTCTCCCAGACAGTCTCTGCTGACGGCTGGGTTGTCCTGTTCCTTCCTCTGTGGGAGCACCATGGCAAAGAGAAATGTGGGCGACCAGAGCTGGGGTCCACGGAGTATTCATCAGCCCTGCTCTGTGCTCTTGCACATACCACAGCTCCACTATAACGCCCACCCATGGGAGAACCTGCAGAGGCGCAGAGGTGGAGGGAAGTTGAACACAGGTAGAGATAATAGTCAATCAGGCAGGGGACTGGGCTCACTAAATGGCGGGTTAGCATCCTAAGGCTGCTGTAGAAAAAAAGCACAAGAAATCTATTCTTTCCTATGTCTGGGGGCTGGAAACACTGACCAAAATGTGCCTGGTCTTGGAAAGACAGGGCCTCTCTTGCCTGATCCAGCTTCTCACTGCTACAGGCACCTCTGGCTCGGCCCCTGGATTATAGGATCATGACTATCAAGAGGAGAATCCTTCTTCACAGTTCTTTGGGCCCCTCTGAGTTCACATGGCATTTTCCTCCCACAGACATCAGTCCTGTTGGATTTAGACACCCCCCCCCCTTCTGCCATGCGCTCTGATTAACTGTGTCTGCAATGGCCTTATTTCCAGGTAAGGTCACAGGCCTGGTTCGTTGTTGTTGCTGTGATAAAACACTCTGGGGGGGAAATGTCCACCCTTTCTCTTGTAGGGAAGTTTAAGCAACAGGGATGTGAAGCATTGGGTCACATTCATGGTCAAGAGCAGAAAGAATAAGTGTGTGTGTGTGTGTGTGTGTTCATTGTCTGTACTGGCACAGTCTAGGACTCTCTACCTAGGGAATGCTGTCACCCACAGTGGGCTGAGTCCTCCCACCTCGGTTGTCAATCAAGGCTGTCCCTCACAGGCTAATCTGATCTACAAGAGTCCTCATTAGGTCTCCCTCCCCAGGTCACCCTTGTGTCAGGTTGACACTTAAGACGGATCATCACAGCCACATTTGTAGGTGCCAGGTTCAGGATGAGAAACACATCTCTTTGGGGTGGGAGGTACAGCTGAGCACAAAATATAACCTGGAAATGCTGCCAGTCAGGTTGAGTCACTGAGTCATAGTTCACTGTCCTACAATGTTAGTTTTAAAGAACACAGACGAGGAAGGAAGCATCTGTCAATGAGCCTTCTCTCAAGCAATTGGCAAAATAAAGATTTGAATCCCCCACCCCGCCATAAAAGTTGGTGAGAAACCTTGACCTGTAAGCCAAATCAAATCACCTGCACGACAGGAGATAACCCAAGAAGGTCATGATTTAGAGACATCTGGATATACCCGGTCATAGTCATGAGCCCTCCCGGATAAAAGAGAGATGTCTTCTGAAACAATGAAGTACAGGTGAGGTGTGGGCTGGACTGCTTCCCTCCCCCAGAATGAGACAAAGCTGTCCACCTATCGCAGCTGCAATCAGGGAACGGAATGTCTGTCTTCCATCCTTCCGGGTATGTCACCTCTGTGGACGTGACACCTTTGATTCAACCCTTGTATAAATCAAAACCTCTTGACCTTTCACTTAAATAAAAGGCAATCACTGGGCTGTCACATTGTGAATAATAGATGGAACCATTATTCAAGAGGCTTCACCATCTGAGGAACAGGGAGGCTGTTTTTGGAAAATCTATGGCAGAGGATAGCATAATTATAACTTGGGTTTGTGTGGCATTCAACCCCAAGTCATCTCAAAGCCCATGGTGGTTTTCTAGCAACCTTTCTCCAAAAAGAGACAGTCACCAGAGGAACACGTCAGTCGGGTACATTTCTTGCTCCAAGACATTTGAAATCAGCACTTCCAAACAAACCTGCCCATGTCATTGGACCAACACCTTGACATATTTAAAAACTGTCAGTAAAATAAACCTGGCTTAGAACATAAGCTGTGATCAGAAATCTTATGGGAAAGGATACGCCTCAGGTGGAGAAGTTTAGGGGCTTCATGCTAAGTGGAGTCCATACTGCTAGGGTGCTGGTGAAGACTGAATTGCTTGACCCACCCAGAACCACAGAACTTCTGCTCATTTGGAGATACGCTCTACAAAGGAGAATAAGATGAGGTCACACTGAAATGACATGCCCAGCCCTCATCTCTGGGGATGTCATTAAACAGCGCTCAGGACAGAGACACAGAGGGGCTCCTCTATAAGATGCAGCGGAGACCAGAGCACAGCGTCTACAAGCCGGGAGGCCAGGAAGGCACGGTCCAGTCTTCAAGGGGTGAGACCTGCTGCGGCTTTGCTCTCTGACTCCTGACTGTCAGAACTGCACGAGCCTCCAGTTTATGACAGTGTCTTAGTTAAGGTATCTGTGGCTGTGACAAAAACACTGTGACCAAAAAGCAAGTTGAGGAGGAGAGGGTTTATTTGCCTTTTACTTCCAGATCACAGTCCATTATCAGAGGACGTCAGACAGAAGCTCAAGCAGGGCAGGATCCTGGAAGCAGGAGCTGAGGCATGGAGGGGAGCTGCTTACTGGCTTGCTCCTTATGGCTTGCTCATCCTGCTTTCTTATAGAACCCAGGACCACCAGCCTAGGGATGGCACCATCCACCATGGGCTGAGCCCTCCCCTATTGATCACTAATTGAGAAAATCCCTTACAGTTGTAATTCATGGAGGCATTTTCTGAATCGAGGTTTCTTTCTCTCTGATGGCTCTAGCTTGTGTCCAAGTTGGTACACAAAATCAGCCAATACAGCTGACCCCTTGTCAACTTGACCCATGAACACATCACTATTAAGCCATAACCCTTCCTTTCTAATTCATCCCTAAGACCTCACATTTAAAAACATAACTTTAAAAGTCCCACAGTCTTTACAAATTCAAACACATTAAAATCTCAGTCCCTTTAAAATAGCTAATCTCTTTTAAAACCCAAAGTCTAAAGTTCAACGTCTCTCCTCTGTGGGCTCCAGTAAAACACTTAATTATTTCAAGAGGGAAACATCAGTGCACAGACACAATCAAATCATAGCAAAACCAAATATCCAACCATACTACGGCTGGGATTTATTCTTGATTTTCCAGACTCCTCCAAGGACCTGGGTCCCTTCTCCAGCTCTGCCCTCTGCAGCACACACAGCTTGTCTTCTAGGCTCTGGCTGGCTCCACTCCACTGTGCTGTTCCTGGTGGTCATTCCATGGTACTGGCTTCTCCAAAACGCCAGGGTCTTGTGTGTGGAGTACTGAATAGTGCCGGTATGTGGGGACACAGTTGTGGTGGCTGCGGGGCTGGTTAGAAGCTACTAAAGTTCCTGTGGACTCAAGTAGAATTTTGTAAAACATAATAGATGGTGAGGAGAAAGCCTAGGGTTGCTGTGAAGGCTCTGACACCATGTGTGTCGCTAATATCTTCTGAGGGCCATGAATTTATTGTAAAAAGAGAGCATGCATTTACACTGGGAACAATAAAGGCCATGTTGAGCAGACCAGGGAAGTTTGCTGAGAATGAGGTCAATTTTAGGGAGATCCCTTTGCATGTGCTATCCAAAGTATGCATGTATTTTACCTACAAGGTCCGCTACACGAAGAGCTCCACCAAGATTCCCGAATTCCCGACTGCACCTGAAATTGCATTGGAACTGCTGATGGCTGCAAACTTCCTAGATTGTTAAGTAAAATAAATTATAGTAAACTGCTAATCTTTTCAGTATTTCATACCTGAGTTCAGTTGGTAATTTTTTGCACATATAGCATGTTGCCTGTATTAAACTGAACCCTAAAGTTAATTGCTGAGCAGATTCCTCCTGTCTTTTGCATAAGCAGAGTTGAAATTTGCTTGTTACATCAACAAATTAAGGCCAAGAAATAAACAAATAATGCCAGCTTGTAGGTGGTTTGCTTTCTCCTTCAGATGTGACCTTTAAAATAATAACTAATAAAGCAAATCCTGGAATGTAAGCATAAATGAGCATATTCTACAGGTGAATATGGGGCTAAGAGTTTTTATGTGTTAGTATTTCTTAAGAACCAGTCCTGATCTTGCAGTGTCTGAGCACAACTAGGTCTATGCAAATAATTACATGAAAAAACTTGTTTATAACTTAGCCAAACCTTGATTTTTGCACCTCAAAGAACATGAGTTGAAATTTCTTAATGTGTTTTTTTTTTTTTTGATAAACTACAGTATTGTTTAACAACAAAACAGAACAGAACAACAAAGAAACGCTGGGGTTGCAACTGGGCGGAACTCTCCCCAATAGTCTCTCAGAGGCTCTCCTCATGGTGCCAAGGCTCAACCCCTTCACACGACCCCTTCAGTCCCGGGCCTGCCACTGCCAGTGAGGCTCCACCTTTGCCAATGGCCACTCCTGGCCTCTCACAGTGCCAAGCCTCCGCTCTCCAAAACCCTTCACGCATTCAAAACCGGTACCACCTGGGAACACTTCCACATTACCAAGTCCGGCTGCCAGCACGAGGTACAGCCTTGGCTGTCTCAGGAACACAGTTCCTCTGTGCTCTCGGGAAACACGTCCCAGAAGACTTCACCTCAGTGATGTTGGTCTCTTCTTAATCACCGTTAATTTCTTAGCTCCAGCTGACCAGCATCCATTATCCCAGCAAAGTGAAATTCTGCTTCAGTAGTTCTGGTATCTTGTTAATCACAGCTGATTCTTCAGCCCCAGCTAACCAGACCCTCAGGACGTTAATTCAAAGTATCAAATGGCTCTGAGAGAGTCTTTAAACTTCTCCCTGAGGCTTCACAAGCCAGCCCTCCACCTCCTGCACTGTTCTCAATGTTATCTTCCAGGTCCCCACAGAACATCTCACTGGGCCCTTAAATTCACTGGTTCTTGAAGTCCCAAGTCCTTCCACAGTCCTCCCCAAAGCATAGGTCTGTCACAGCAACACCCCACTACACTGGGACCCTTTTCTCTTAGCTAGGGTTTCTATCACTGTGATGAAACACCATGGGACCAAGAAGCAAGTTGGGGAGGAAAGGGTTTTTGGCTTACACTTCTACACTGCTGTTTATCACTGAAGGAAGTCAGGGCAGGAACTCAAAACAGGGCAGGAACCTGGAGGCAGGAGCTGATGCAGAGACCATGGAGGGGTGCTGTTTACTGTCTTGCTTTCTTACAGAAGCCAGGACCAGCAGCCCAGGGATGGCACCACTCACAATGGGCTGGGCCCTCCCCCATTGATCACTAATTGAGAAAATGCCTTACAGCTGGATCTCAAGGATGCATTTCCATAGCGGAGGCTCCTTGCTCTCTGATGACTCTAACCTGTGTCCGAACAGCCAGTACAGACACGGCCATGAGAAATGTGCACAGTCGGGTGTGTGAAGTTCCTTGAGGTTTCTAGTTTCCGGTGAGGTGGGGAGCATCAGCTCTCACACACTGGGTGACCTTAGCAGGGTTACTGCGTGAGAAGGAGGAAGAAGAGGAGGAGGCACTTCTGTGGCCACAGCTGCTGCCTGACACTGACATTTTGCACATTAACCAGAATTTAACCAAAGGCAATTTGAGCACTTCTATGACTGATCTTACCAAACCTAGCGAGAGGACGGGTAAGATGTGTGCACATGAAGGGTGACGGAAGACACTGAAAGCATCACTAAGGTCACAGATGTGCACACACAGGTCCTCTCCACATGGGAGAGCCACGGCACAGAGAGGCACAGGGGCAGTACTTCCCAAGGGTCTGGTAGGACTCTGACCACAGATCCCAAACTCTATGCCCGGAGCCGTGGGCATGCACCAGCTTCTGCACCTGCAAGGAGCAGGACATTCTGTTTTCCCAGCAGGGTGGCCAGTTCGCCTGCCCTTCAGGCTTGGGTGGCCCATTTCACCCTGGAGAGAACAGAAGTGTAAGTTCTATGATGATTCCATGACACACGCATGTCAAAACTCCTTAACTCTGTGACTACATCCTCAGAGCCAGGGAAGGAGGATGGCCGCATGTGACTGATGTTTCCAGGATTTCACATAACAGGGTGTACTTTACTTCCCCAACAGGTGGGGGAGAAGGGAGATAGGAGAGAAAGTTTCACACTAAGCTAGTCAGATTCACACTAGGTTAGGGGTTTTCATGCAGCCAAGGCGGACCTTTATCCTTCAGCCTCAGCCTTCTGGATTCTGGGGTGACAGTCGCATGCTACCATGCCAGGTCTCTGTGGGGCTGGGGTTAGTACCCAGGGCCCTGCAATGCTAGGCAGACTCTTTACCAGCAGCACTGCACCTCCGGGCAAAGTGGTGTTTGTTTTCTGGGAGCATCGCAAAGATGGGTCTGACCTTGAAAATGACACTTAAAATGACCGAAAAGCTGACTATTTGAAATGATTTGATTTCTGACTTCTTAATAAGCATCATCTCTTGACTCTGTCCCATATGAAGAGGGTGGGAGGCCACACAGGTGATGACATCACTAAAGTAGAACCAAGGCACAGGATCTGGTGTTTGTTTCTCTGCAGCTGTCTGCTGCATGAACACTCTGGAAAGGGCTTAGCAGGTTTAGAGGTCCTTTGTATACAGGGATTTCCCTTGGTGTGAGGCACCTAACGGAATCAAGAATACAGGGACTACAAACGGTAAGCTGTGAGCCAGACTCCGTGTTTCTAAGTCAAGTGGCCACTTGTGTGGACAGTTGCTGGCTGACCATGTTTGACCTGTGTCACCCACAGCTCCTGAATACGACCTGATAAGGCATGACAGACTCTGCAGAATTTCCTGGAACACCACTACTGCCCACTGGCCTATTTATGGAATTATTTTGCCGTGAGGAAGGTTAGTTTTCCTGGGACATGATGTCACAGGAGCCATCGGGATCACCTAGCAACGGAACACAGCAACATGTCCAGCTATTTATAACCAGCTGGCTGGCTGCGCCAAGAGGTACGCACTTAGATCCACCAGAGAGCGCGGGGTCATTTGATTCTTCTGGAAGCCATAGCTGCTTCTAGAGTTGACAGAGGGTGAGGGAGCCCAGACTCTCAGCCGTAGTGCTTGTTCCTAAGCACGCTCCATAGAACCCCCAGTTTGCTCACAACACGGTAGAGCACTGCTGCCCAGAAACCAACTCATTCAGAACCAACTCAGGCAAGCTGGGCGCAAAGACAGTGCTGGGGACGGGCACACTGACACGGAAGCCTGGTGGCCCGAAGTCCATGAGATCCTCCCTTTCCTCCAGCCATCCCAGGACCACTGTCCTAGGCAGGTGACTGAAATCTCAGGGCCTGAGAAAGGAGCCCAGCATCTCAAGGATAATTCCGGGTAGAGAAACGCCACCTTCGGGTAGCCCGAGGCCCACCTCCTGCCTGCTACAAGCATTCGCTTCTTCCTGCTGGAGGGGTCCTGGACTTACCATCTCCCTATCTCCACTAAATACAGCCTTTCTTGACCCCAGGAAACTGAGTTTCTATGTAATATGTCTTTCATCTGTCATGAGTCTGAACTCTTGGGGGCCTCAGCTGGTGACATTGTTTTGTGAACAATCAAAGAAAACGAAACCTTCTGGACACAAAGTATCACTGGCAGATGTAGGGCCACGGGGGCCGGCCTAAGGGCTATAATCTGCCTTTAAATCAGTTTAAATCAGCCTCCTCCACTTCTACCACCACAGCCACAAGCAGCTCTCAAAACCAGGCCCTCCCTACACGATGGCCTGTATCCTCTTAAACTTCAACCCAAATGAACTCTCCTGTTGCTTCTTTGGGGTACTTTATCATAGCCATGAGGAAAGACTGGCCTCTCAGACCACTGAGTCGTCCTAATGCTCTACAGTGAGGACAAGGGTAACCACTGCAGACATAAGTCCCTGCCGAGGCCGAGCAGCATGTGTGTGACAGAGAAAGCTGTCAATACGCAATTACAATGATTTCAGATATGAAATGTCATGCGTGCTTCCTAACAGTACCCCAGCTCATCTCGGCTAATGCACTGACTGCACATCATACCAGGGTAGTGCCATTCCATTGAAGACCATTGTCTTTATGATGCTACTAAGTATGAACTGAACTTCATACATTCATTGTCTGGTGTTCACATGTGGAAGCTATGGTCAATGTTACATGTTCCACTGTGTATAAACATGTGGAAGCCTGCGATCAGTGTCAGACATCTTCCTTTAGAGGTCTCTGTCTACTTGCTTGTTTATTTATTTAGTTAGTTAGTTAGTTAGTTAGTTAGTGAGCAGGGTCTTGCTCTACAAACCAGGCTGGCCTCAAACTCCCAGGGATCGCTCTGCCTCCTGCATGCCAGAATTAAAAGTGTTCACCACCACAATGAATCCACCACCTCCCTGAACCCAGAACTCATTGATTGGCTGGAATGGCTGGCCAGGGAACCCCACAGATCTGCCTGTCTCGAGTTGACTAGTACTAGGGTGACAGATGTGAGCTGACACACTCTGGGAATCCAAACTTCAGACCTCACTCTTACACAGCACTTGGAGTCAACGAGCCATCTCCTCACCCTCTGCACACACTTCTAAGAATAGCTCCTGACCCTTCAGAGAACTGCCCATGGAGTCACTTCAGAGAACTGCCCATGGAGTCAGCGTGTAAAGCAAAAGCAAGGACAGTGAGGAGAGAGACAGTGCCAAGGCCATCGTACTCACCCTGTGTCTTCTCCTTCTCCTCTTACGGACACAGATCCTCCGTGCCTGAGTTTCA